CCTTAACTATGGTCACCATAACCATTTCCAGGGTAAACATATTTATGAACGTGGAGGTCGCAATGGCAAACGTGTTCAGTCGAACATGGGTGCCAAGAACCACGGGGTGGTCATGCCGGACTGCAACAAAGAGCAGACCCTTAATCAGGTAATTTATAGTTTTTTCTTGGTGAGAGCCTGTTCAGCCATTTTTAAATTGCGCGGATGTCTCCCAGTTGAGAATAATTAACCTAAATTGGGTCATTTCGCGATAATGCCATTTGAAGGCAGCGATTACGGTAGGTTTTAGAGGGGGTTTACAGGGGACGCAGGAGTACTCAATGGTATAGTACTCAATGGCGGACGTATGGACGAGTTTAGTGCAACGCGTTTGGTGTCACCATGCCACTCCATGCTCCAGTCGAGTTGCACCAGTTGTGTCGCTGCTGGTCCTAATCACCAACTAAATGGGTGGGTCGCTTTTGGGGCGGAGTGCTTTCAGCAACCAGCGCACCATTCCTTATGAAAGTGCCACAGCTCCCTTCCTTGGCAGCCAAGTGATTGCTTCATGTGGCTCATATATCTTCTCGACGCATGCTCCCTTTTCATAGTAATCGCCTCTTTTGATACGATGAAGTGAAGACTACAGTGGCGTTGATGAAGACAGTGAACAGTTCGGATGAGAGGCTCAGGCGATATAGAGACTTCATCGACAGCAAAGTGTCGAAACGCTTTTAGCGCATTGGAAAGTGGTCAAGTCGCCTTTCGACACTCTTCCCACAACAACGTCTCCAAACTGCGCGCTAACCTTCGTAATCTTGTTCATTGTCCTGGAAAAAAGTATCAATTGAGCTATGCAAGGTCTTTTTAGTTGACAGCCGCTGCATTTGGAGCTGCAGGACAACGTTGTATGGCCCTCTCGACGGCGATCCTTGTCGGCGAGGCCCGTTCTTGGTTACCTGAACTAGTGAATAGGGCCAAGCAGCTTCATGTAAATGCAGGTTTGTCCTAACATCTAGTACAAGGAGTTTACTCTGACTGATTCTTAAAATTCTTTGAGGATGGAAGCCAGAAACTGACGTCGGTCCATTAATATCAAAGGCAGCAAAGCAGCGCGCCGTCAACATCATAAAAGGAGCGAAGAAGGTTGGGTTTTGATACTTTTCTCTTTCGGCGCTTTGATCAGAACATTTTGCAGGAAGGCGCTAATGTACTACTCGACGGAAGCGACATCGTTGTCCCAGGGTTCGAGAAGCGGCAACTTCGTGGGACCGCACCGATTAATTCGCAGGATCCAAACCAACATGACTTGCTACAAAGGTTCGCTTTTAAAAATGCTTCTGCTTTCGATCCAGATTGCTGTATTGTTAAGGGAGATTATAGTTAAAACAGCCATCAACATAGTACTTTCAGGAAGAGATTTTCGCGCCGGTTCTAGTTGTCATGGAAGCAGAAACCTTGAATGATGCCATTGAAATCATTAACAAAAACCCCTATGGAAATGGAACCCCATCTATTCACAATGAACGGCGCTACTGCTAGAAAGTATGTCCATCAGTTTTGCTTTTAAAATGTTTATAAATATTAACAACTACTCAAACAGATTCACGAACGAAGTCGACTGCGGCCAAATCGGTATTAACGTGCCAATACCTGTCCCCTATCCATGTTTCGTTCCTTCATTCACCGGTCACGTGGTTCGTTTCATGAGGACAATTGAAACTTCTACGGAAAAGTGAGTTGCTCTAGTTCCGGCGCTCAATGAAAGCCATCGAGATCACCGAAACCTTTCTAGGCTGGAGTTCAATTCTACACACAATGGAAGACCATCACTCAACACTGGGGCGAGAATCTATCAGATGTGAAGCGTCAAATGTTCTGTCCTTCAGCAGATAGAAATGCAATCTACATTTGAAAAATAGTGTAGATTCATTTCAGAGTTCTAAAAGCCTTATACAACGTATTTGTTTTGTTATATTGCGACTGTTTTGTTGAAAAGACATACCGAAATAAAATTTTATGTACACCTGACGCACCACATGAAAATTCTCGACTTAATCCAATTTGCCAAATGGTCTAATTGATATCAGAACCGGTCTTATCCCCGTCAGTGTCGTCATCCGTATCCTCCTGAGACTTTTCGCCTGCATCTTCGCCGCTTCAGGATTCACCTTAAAGATAGAATGTTGTCATAAACCAATATTACAGTTTTTCTGAACATGAGCAGGTTTTTGAATGGTATTTGCAATCAGTGAAGAACGACTGCGGACATTACCACAAGTCGTCGTCATCATCAGAAAGGAGGCGTAACTACCTTAACTCAACTAACAACTAGGAGGTGGAAATAACACTTTTCATTCGGAAGGAATTGGGGCTAACCATTACACCACCAATCTACGATGCAGTACGCAAAAATTTGAAGCGCATTCATTAACTCCACATCTGTACTTCTAAATACGTAAATGAAAGACCTGAAGCAGAACGGAAGCTAGGAAAATTAAGCTACTGCGAAAACAGGAACCAGGAGAGCGTCATTAATTCAGCTTTTCCAATTTCAACGTCGTGTGCCATAACGAAATAGTGGTGATATACCAGTAGCTATGGGCTCTGCTTAAGCCTCGGTGTTCTGTTCAGGCGAGAGGCAGCCTCCAAGAACATGCTAAACTATGGATCGAACGTCTTGCCGTAAGTTATGGAGTTTTGGTTTGTCTTTAACGTTTTGTACTGATTTACGGAATAAGGAATTAAAATTTTTTTGAATCCGGCTCCCAGACAATACCTAACCATTTGGGCGCGGCCGCGGCGAACGCGGCCGAGTTGATAGGTGCCCGCGAACTCAGCACAGCACAGTTCGCGGGCACCTCGAGTGCGTTTTCAACGGTTCGCGGGCACAATCGACTCGGCCGCATTCGCCGCGGCCGCGCCCAAATGGTTAGGTATTGTCTGAGAGCCGTTTGATCCAAACAATTGACCTGTTCTTCATCAGCGATGTTACAACATCAATTCGAAAATTAAGTGTATTCAGATGTGCGGTGAGGCTTGCTGTAGGTAGACAACCTCGCAAAAAAAGGGGGGGGGGGTCGAATAACAGGCGGTCGTTATACACATAATAGCTTCGAAATTTGAAATAAAACCAGTGTAACTAGTGCATAAATCAAATTTCAATATTTAAAGTGAAGGAGGTCGAAAATTCACAGCTACTGTCGCACAGCTGACTATAAATGTGAGAACTTTAAAGCAGTAAATTAAAATCTAAAATCTCACATGCAGTCTTTGTCGCTTCCGCAAATAATACAGCCATTGGAGAACTTGCTGATCTTCTATGAACTTTGCATTCGCTCCTAAATTATTTTAGCATGAAGCAGCGAAAACAGCGACGATAGGATAGATGAAAATACCGAACCTGAAGTAAGAGCTTCTCGAAAGTTATTGCACTGAAGGCACTCAAGAATATGAAGGCACTGCGGATACTTCAAAGCCCTGTAATGGAAACAATTGAACTGTGATGAATACAAGGTTCTGCAACTTCACGAGAAAAACTTGACTAAGACTTGACTTCAAAAAATAACTTAGCAGTCAGTCATGAACTATTACGATCTTGGAAACTTCTGAAAGTCGTTACGTTGAAAAGATATAATTGATGGTTCTTATCAAAAACGCGAGCCCTTACTTTCATTACGCTACATGGCGCCCTTACCCTTCCTTCACCAGGATCTTTAGGGATTTTTCAAAGGGATTGTTTACTTTCACGAATACGACATTGCTTTTTGGCACAAGAGCGTTTGACATCATTAAATGCGTCACTATCAGTGACTCTGGCGCCAACATTGAACACCACATTTGTGATCAGAGTCATACTTAGCTTCTGTGGATGGAATTTCACAAGAAAATTCTAAAGTTTTGGAGTTAATTCGCGGAGTAGTGCACAAAATATGATTGATGTAGATTAAAGCAGAGAGCACAACATGAGTGAAAAGTGGCATATCAGTTCTGTGAAGAGCACTGCACTTTTTTGTATCCTATTTAGGACCAAAACCAGACGATAAAGAACGTAAACAGCATGAATGAGGAGAGCTATACTATTCCTATTTACACTGTACGAATTCTACTGTGTTAAACAAAGGATGAAATGTATATAATGTGTGTAAATTAAAATACTCTTTGAATGAGTGGAGCTCGAGCCTGGAAAATTGGGAAAAAATACCTCAAGACAGAGGCGAAATTATCTGCGAGACATGCCACTTTCTAAGTCAAACTTCTCGTCTTACGCAATGCGCTTATGTTGCTAGATGAAAAAAATAAACTCCACAGGTATTAGTGAAAATAAGCTATATCCAAATAGTCACTCGACATTTGCCAAGGAAAAAAGCTTGTCAAAACTTGTTGGTGAAGTGCTGTCAATAAGATGCGCAGGACAATTTCAGAAAAACTTTGTTCTTCATGAGCCATATTTCTCTGGTCTCCAAATTGCACGATAATAATGATGCAGAGCCATTTTTCAATTGATTTTGTGTTGCCACAAAAGGAATGTACAAGAATCTGAACGAGCCTTGCCCCTTCACTCAACAGTCAGCTCAAAGGCAAAAGCTTAAACCTTCTTGTGCAGACTACATATTGAAGTCCCAATTTAAAACTTTAAATAATTGATGAAAAATCTCGAATGAAGTTCTTTAAGGTCTATTTGATGAAGAGAAGCATTTTGGTGCGGAGCACCTGATTGATACAGTAAAAACTTCGACGAGCATTTTCTCTGCTCGAAGAAAGTAATGCTCACCCGGCTTTCTTTTACAGAAGGAAATTGACTCGCCCACCCAGAGCCTCCTCCTTTAAATCGAGTTGTTATTTCCATACGAACTACCACCAATACAGCTCCCTTGATAACACAGACCCATGTAGAGGGGTGGCCAAAAAAACGCTTTGCTCATGACGCACATCAGCAAGCTTTATCTCACACAGGATGGAGTGATGTATGAGAGCCTTCCCGCAAAATATTTCTGAAATTGCCTCCTTATACGAAGCGGCGAACCCTACACTCACCGTCTTCAGAATAGACGTCATCTGCCATCACCGTCGAGGCTCAAGCAGGCTTTCTAATTACTCTGCCTCATATTACTGCAAATTCTTAACTCATTTCTTTGATGGTGCTTCCTAGACAAAGATGATACTGTGAATGTGCAAGACCTCTTCCAACCAGCGTTCAAAATAACGTCGTGGTGGTCAACGATCCGTCGAAGAACCTTAGAGCTCGAACTGTTTACCGTGTACCCAAAACAGATTCTTCTGTTTCCCAAGTAGAGAGTAGTTATAAAGTCACCCAATGAAAGAACGTGCTCTTCAATTGTGAAACGGAATCGTCCGGTTTGAGAATAGAAAGGTGCTATTAAATCGGCCCTAAAAGTGACTGAAAGTGTCTCTTTTTGTTTTGACCACCCCTTTAGGCCGATGTCATAGTTTGCGAATCGAACGTTGCACCAGCGAATCGAACTTTGCGCCAGCGAGTCGAACGATGTACCAGCGAGTCGAACTAGGTACCAGCGACTCAATAGTGGCGGGACCCAACTTTAAAGGAAGCCCGCCACATTCAAACAGTGTCACGTGACAGTGGACGCTGTTTGAAAGTGGCGGGAGTTGACAGTGGGCACTGTTTGAAAGTGGCGGGCTTCCTTTGAAACGTTGGGTCCCGCCACTATTGAGTCGCTGGTACCTAGTTCGACTCGCTGGTACATCGTTCGACTCGCTGGCGCAAAGTTCGATTCGCTGGTGCAACGTTCGATTCGCTGGCGCAACGCTCGGATCGAGCGATTCGCAAACTATGACATCGGCCTAACATTTTGCAAGATACTCGGAAAGGAACATGAGGCAACGGAAAAGAAGAAAAGAAACAAGGGACAAGATAAAGTTAGCTGCTCAACGTTCAATGATACTTGGGGAGATATTCATTTTTATCGGTCACTTAAATGGTGAAACTGACCATGCGCACTCAGTGACAAGATGAGTGAATTATACCTAATGACCTGCTGGGAATAGAGCCGATAAAAATAAATTGGAATGACAACAAAGAAGGTATAAATAAATAAATAATTAAAACAAAAAAAATTTCAGTTTTTTTCAATCTTGAGTAGTTTTGGAAATTTACCTGGCATATTCCGGTTGTTTCCAGTACAAAAGGTATTTGAGATAATTAATGAAGTGCTGCTCCTTTAAAAACCCACGCTGCGCCAGAACTGGAATGCCAGATTTCAACGTTCAGAGGAAACAACAATATTTTCAGAATCCATCTGAGATGAAAAGATGAGACTCTAGTGCAATAGAAACCTACAATTCACATAATGAGGGTTGGCGAGAGCCTGGACGAATTCGCATTCGATTTCAAAACGTCTCCTTTGCTCTTCTGGAGGCTCGAGTTGGGCTGTTGAAAGTTGTACTAAACATAAGAACTTAACAAATACACCCCAGAGAGCTTATGTATGCGATCATTTCTTAGGAAATCCTTATATTTGAAAAGCAGCTGCATTTTTATTTACCAAATAAGCCTTTTGTGAAGGATCAGGTTGGTGTCAGACTTTGTGAATCCAGCGATTCCTCAATCGCTTGGATACGCCCCCGTTGCGCCCCAGCAAAATTGAAAGAATACGCAATGCCTTGAATGTGAAACTCAATTCGAAATTTGGCTCTCACAATATTCCCACTGGCTTACCAAGGGCATGAAGCTCGAGAACATAATAAAACAAAACAAAATAGACAAAAAAAAAAAAAAAAAAAAAGAAGTCAAACTGCGAACGAAAGATTTCAAGTAACGTCGAGTCGCTAGTACACAGCTCAATCCAATCACATAGTTCGATCAGCTTGGGTATGAACTCGTCTCCAATGTCCCTCACTCCCCCCCACACTCCCAATACTTGAAAGGTTTTCGATAACAAAGAACAAGGTGACCTCAAACTTACAACTAAGGAATCAAGTTCGCACGAAGGGACCAGACAAAAGGCTATACGCAGAAATGCGCAGGTAAAACGACAATTTGTTCATCTCGTTAGTAGGCACAACAGTCCACAAACGGGTATAGCGGAATAGTGAGAGGAACGCTTCTTCCAATCAATTCCCAAATCAAACCTTCCACTGTACGAAGCGTCGAAGTAGTGACTAACAAATCTATTTTCAAGGAAGGCATGATTAGCCTTTTTAGAAGCTTGAATTTCAATTTTGAGGCATAATGCTAGAATCTTGAATTACCAAGAAAGTTTTATATCTGAAGCAATGAAGAGCATCAGCTACATAAAGAAAAAAAGCGAAACATAAGGTTAACAATGATAGGAAGCACTGACACGACATATAAAGTAGACCATTAACTCGAGATAATTCGAACTGAACTTACTTTTATAATCCATACCGCTAATTCCAACGAAACAATCAAACAGCTGACAGAGAACGATTATGCAAAACGAACTGAAGCCCGATTCAGACATGATCGGAGGTATACACCGAGATGCTCGCCTCTTTGAAAAATGTTCCCGCGCGCGCTCGTTTAAACAAGTGTCGCACTGGGGCGAGCCTTCTCCCAGCTATACTGGTGTTAGAGTCACTATGTAATTGTTCGGTAATCTTCTACTTGTAACTGCAAAGGAGGGAGAAGAGCAGGAAGCTTCTGGGACTGAGCTACGGAGGAAGACGAAATTTTCAAAGAAAAGTTGCTTACGCACTTCAGAGCCCCTCTTCTCCTCTAGGGCTCAGTCCTAAAACTGAGCGTTTCATAATTCTGACGCAGATTGTCGCGTGCTGCCACCGAATGAGCCC